CCCCAAAACCCCAAAACCCCAAAACCCCTTCATTCTTATTACACCAAAAGTTGGAAGATTTATTAAATAGAAAGTAATTTTCTAAAAATGCTAGACGATTAATTAAAAGATATCACTCAACCACTATTTGATTAAGAATATATGGAATAGTAATACAACAACATTGGTAGACAAAGCATGGTCAGCTACTAAAGTTCAACCTAGTAGTTTGACTAAGTCATTAAAAACACTTTTCCATTGCACAATGATGGACAGAATTTAAAAATAAGATGGAATTATTAATACTAGGAAAAATACTTGCTGCTTTTAAGAGAACCATTGAATGATGAGAAACTATATTCATAGGTGCTTGATCTCATTGATATTGAATCATTGAAAATAATTAAGAGCCGTAAGATTCAGGTAGAGTTAGATGTTTAACTCAGTATATCAGATGATTAGAAATACCTTATATGCCAACTTTGTGATCAAGACTTGCTACAAATTTTTGTTTTGGAAGATTTTTTGATTGGAAAAAATGAGTTTTTGAGAATCGTTTATGATTTTAATGGATATGGATATTCTATGGCAAGAATTCTTGATAATAAAGGTATCTTATTTGAGTACTTGACTAAAATTGATAGAAATTTAAAAACCAATGAACCTTATCCAAGAGGATCAATCTTAAGATTAAACATCGATATTGATGAGCTTGATAAATCTCAGATTCAAGAAATAAAATTGACTTAGTATAAAAAAGAAATTTGGGAAAATTTCAAAAACAGATAAACTGAAAATCAGTCAATTTAATTTAGCTCATCTGATGGGAAAATCTCTTATTTGATTAGTTCCTTTTCGTTTCAATTTTATACGTCATAAATAAAAGATTTTATCGCATCCTTATACTATACCTAAGATAAATTATATACTTGTGTTTTATGCAAGTTTACTTTAAGGATTATTGATATTTGTGAAAGTTAAATATATTTCTCATAATATTCTTGCAATTATGGTTTGAGCTAGATTGAGGGTAGCTCAAATTCAAGCTTGTACTAGATCGACAAAGAAGGATTCATAAAATTCGTAAAAAAATTTGAAAGAAATAATGATGAGATTGATTAAAACCTCATTTTCTCTAGTGAGTTAATAGTTTAAGAGGATAAAATTGCCATTTTCATGTCTAATGATACAATACATTATATTTATATCTTAAGAAAAGATACTCTTCAATTGACTAATAAATTTTGTCTATTTAAAACAAACTCAAATTAAACATTTGATATGATGAATTTGAATCAAATGAAGATATTTTTAAACATTTTACCTGAAAGTAATATTTACTAAAAAGTTATTCTTAAATATTCAAAATGTGAATTTTAATCCGAACTGATTGTTCCATACTAAAAAAATTGCAGCAAGACTGTCTTAGACTTAAAAAGTAATTCATTAGCAATATAGTAAGATGATGATATTTTAATTTATGACATAGCTATTAAAAAACTAGAGAATAAGATTGTTCTTCAAGATTTTAAATAGTCAAAGAAACTTGTTTAATTTTTCAAGATTAAGTAATTAATTTATTTGTTATGTTTTGAGGATCTTGAGGATTAAAATACCTTCTAAATTTATTTTGTTTCATGTAATGATCCAATGAGATAGTAATTAATATTGGACGATTAGTCGGAACTAAAGTAAGTTTCATTTTTACATTATGACACCGAGAAAAATAATTTGATTCTAGTTGAATAACAAAGTTACTGTCATTATTACTACTGCAATATTAACCTAACTAATTTTACTATGTCTAGAGAAAATGCAAATACTCCTATTTTGAAATATAAGCCCTAGCAATTATCTTTTGATCTCATAAATAATACTCTCTATTGTTTTTATTATGATAACTAGCAGTTGAAGTTATATGATTTCATGAAAAAGACAGAAAGATTAATATAAGATAATACTGACAATATCACTCCAACATAATTCGAAGTTGATTATTAACAAAGGATTATATTTTTGTTAGATTAAAGAAGTATATTTGCCTTTGACTTTGACTCAGGTGAAAAGATTGATTTAGGTTTCTACGATTTAGGAGTTAGCTTCACAAAAATAACACTGTTCAACAATATGATAGCTGCTCATTACTAAGATAGAACCTACTATTATTTCCAAATTCCAAACAGAAGATTAGAAAGGGTTATCAAAATAGAATTTCCAGTTCCTCTTGAGTTTGATAATCAATTTGAAAAGCAAGTTTTTATTGTTCCAGATATTAGACACTAGGAAGATACCTCCAATTTGTTTAGACCCTTTGAGATGATTGAGGAATTAGAAAAAGCCGAGTATATCGAAATTTCAGAAAATCAAGGAATTACTTTTTACAGTTAACATAATTAAAATCCTGTTTGCTAAGTTGATATTTTTTTCACTTCACTTGATCTGCAGAAGATGAGAGATATCATACACATGAATACTGATTAGCAAATAAAATCTGTAAAATAAGATTTAAATATCTATCTGAAGTACTACCCAGGATTGGGAAACATTTTCAATTCATTTGCTCTAAAACCTTAAATACTTGAACAAATTTCCAAGCTTATTTAAACTTCCGACTAATCAGCATAAAAATTAATTATCTTAAGGGATTAAATTGGTGGTAAAACTCCACTATAACTTGCAATTGAAAAAAATTAAGTCAAAAGTATTTCTATTCTACTTGAATTAATGATAAAGTATCAAGAAAATAAGCATCTAAATTGTTTTATTGATGAAAATTTAGTGTAGTTAATGAAGTTTTAAATAGACTTAAGCGAATACTTTGATACCAGTATGTCTATCTTTTAAATCACACATGAAGATTTCCCACCTTTGCATTAGAATGGTGAAGAAATTATTGTTGGCTATTGTAATATTGATAAGATAGATAACATTGACTAAAAATATGAAGAAATATTTAGTGCTCACTTGGATGAAGTAGCAAATGATTAAGATGGTTAGATAAATTCTATTGAGTATTTTTTGATTAATTTACCTTAAACTCTAACATCGACACCTAAAAAACTGATGAAAGTTCTCAGTACTACTGATGTAAACGAGTACTTTGAGAGCACGACTATACAAACAATCATAAAATACAAATGGGAGGCTTACACAAAAAGATTTTTTGAGAGATAATTCTACCTATACCTTATTTATCTGCTGACATTTATTTTTGAGATATTTTATTCCCTTAGTAATGGGAAAACATAGAAAGACTATATTGAAGATGATAGGATACTAACTGTAATTATCATTACCAAAATGATTTGCAGTTTAATTTTAATATACTTCTTAAACTAAGAAGTTAAGTAAGCTAGAAAACAAGAAGGATATTTGAAAGAAATTTAGAATCTCTTTGATTTCTCCTTGATTATTTCCTATTTTGTAATGACTATCATTGAATTTGGATTTTAAGCTCAAAAACTATTAATCCTTGCTTAAATCATTGTAGTAATACTTTCTTTTATGAAGCTTTACTTCTTTTTGAGAATCTATGATGGCTTTAGTTTTCTTGTAACAATGATGTCTTCTGTATTCTATGATCTTCAATACTTTATTGCTTTCTTCCTAATCTTTATATTTTAATTCGGACTCATACTAACAATTTTGTTTCAAGCACAATGGATTGAAGAATATGATAAAATCACCACTGTTGCATACTTTTTAATGGCATTTAGAATTTCTTCAGGTGATTTTCAATTAGATGCTTTCAAAGATTAAGACTCTTTTTTAGTAGGATTATCTTGGATTTTGTGGTTAGTTGGAGTTATCGTTCTTAATGTAGTATTCATGAATTTTATCATTGCTGTCATCTCAGAATCTTATGAGAAAGTTATGTAAAAATCAGTTGCTGAACAATTCAGAGTTAAAGTTCAAATGATTGCTGAGAGAGAAATTCATTTCTCCAAAGAAGACACTCAAAATCCTTATTTATTCCCAAAATATTTAATTTTGAGAAGACCTATTGACACTATTGATTCTGATTCAGGTATATAATTCATATTACTATCTTTTTAAATTTCTTTATAGGTGAATGGCAAGGATTCATTAAAGATTTAAAATCAACTATAAAGGTTTAAAATCTAAAGTTGAAGAATGAGATTATTTAAAATCTCAACTAATCAAAGAATCATCATAAAAAACAAGACAAAATCGCTCAATCTTAGATAAATCAAGAGGAATTATCTCAGATAAAGTCCAAGCTTGATAAGATTGATGAAGACAATAAGCTTTTGTTTGCCAAATTTGATGAGATTAAGAAACTAATTCTAGAAAAGTGAAATACTTTTTAGAATATTAAGATTTATAACTTACTATCATGATTATTATTTTTATTTAATTGAAACATAATTACTCAACAATCTGTGAAATATCTTTATAACGGGGTTTTGGGGTTTTGGGG